TGAATATGGCGCAAAGGTACAATTTGTGCCCGTATTGGTAAACTATACCAGTTCACGTGAAAGTTTCCTATTTACCATACACCTACTATTCAGTCTATTTACCTCATCAATAGATTTGAATCTACTCCAGTGTTGAGGATTTGTCTTAATATATCCAATTCTTCGATTTTAATTGTTTTGTTATTTTACATTTTAAGAATATTCAAGCTTTGGCGCAAAAGCGTGTCATGCACAGTAACATACTCTGTTGTAATACACAAATCTACTATTCTTAACTGAATAAACAAATATTAACTTGGAAGAAACATCATTTAATTATTATCAGCAAGCAACAGACACTTGCTGACAAATAAACACATTGTTGTCCTACTTGCATCTTATACATTTTATGTATAGCATGCTTACATGAATCATGCTCTTTTATGAGTATGCTGTGACTCATTTCCTTGTAAATTCTTACATGTGTTACATTCTTAATCTGAACTTTCTATGAAATATTAAAAAGAGGCGAAAGGTAAATCAGATTCAAAGTAATTTAGTTTTTATTTAGTACAAGCAGGTGGATCACCTGATAGTAAATAATCAGCGCCGCTCATAACCACACACGCAATAACAGAGGAGTTATGAATGCATTGCCAGTCTTTTGGGGTTTAGGGATTTCAGTACATTGGTGATTATGGTATTAGACGTGCGGTAACCTCACTCACATAGCGAAATAGCGCTGTGATTGTTTTTACGCCGGATTTCGCCGTTTAAGGCCGTGCTATCACAGTAGAGCCGAACTATGCCTTTCGAATACTTTATTTTAACAAAGGAATACTCTGTCTATATCAATCGTACTTATGAAGAATTGGCTTACAGGAAGTAATCAGTATCAAGTTCAAGTAGTGCAATTTCTGCAGTGCAGGTATAATGACACTGAATTTTCACTTTCGCTATTTTATTTAATTGTCTTTGGAGTTTATTAGGAAGCGTCTACAATTGTCGAATGCGTTTATGCAGTATAAATATAGACAACTATAGTTTTTAATTAAATCAAACTATCAATGGCGTAAGAAACTAGTAAATAGCGGGTACCATTCAAAATACAAAACATTATTGAAACTTTTAGGGCGTAGTGCACTTTTTCTTATGAATGAAATAAATTTATTTTAACTATACAATTGTCTCTTTTATATTCCAGTCTAAAATAATGCAAGAGCTGCAAGCAAACTCTGTGGAGATCTACCAGTTCCCAGTGGACGATGAGTCGGTGACGGAGGTGAACAGCGTGATGAACTCACACATTCCGTTCGCAGTCGTCGGTTCCACTGACTTCGTCAAGATCGGGAACAAGACCGTGCGCGCCAGGCAGTACCCCTGGGGTACTGTGCAGGGTAAGCCATATGCGATATTGCTGTAGGTAAACATTCTTACTATCACTTATTTTGCTGGACCTTCCGTTATTCTGGCAAGCATAGGGAGAGCCATGCTTCGACACAACCTGATGACACAAAAAGTGTAGCTATGCACTTGTTACTCGTCAGTTGCTTGAGATGTCCAGCCAATTACTTACATTAGGCGGTGAATGTGTGTGACATTAATTATACAGTCAGCCTATTTTAATATGTATATTTCTTACAGTGGAGAATGAGTCTCACTGCGACTTTGTGAAGCTGCGCGAGATGTTGATCCGCACGAACATGGAAGACCTGCGCGAGAAGACGCACGCACGCCACTACGAGCTCTACCGCCGCCGCCGTCTGCAGCAGATGGGATTTACTGACGTCGACGCAGATAACAAACCCGTAAGGCACATTTTTTATCATTACCCTGATCCATGATACAACACATTCTGGGAGTTTCTAAATGCCAGAATTGCCGACAGCTGATTCACGTTTTTAAAGTGGTAGAAATTTAGAGGGATCACAATTACAAGCTCAGATTCAGCTTCCTATGTGTAGTATTTTCGGATGTGCGTTGTCTCTCAGTCAGCCATTCGGTAAACCAGTAATGGTAGAGCTTTATATATACTTTTTAAGAATAACATTTGTGTAATGAAGTATGTTAACAAATGGCTCCTGTGGTATCTTGTGGCCAGGTATCGTTCCAGCAAACATTTGAGCAGAAGCGCAGCGCCCATTTGGCGGAGCTGCAACAGAAGGAGGACGAGATGCGGCAGATGTTCGTGCAGAGGGTCAAGGAGAAAGAGGCCGAGCTCAAGGAGGCTGAGAAAGAGGTATACTCCTAACCTAACTCACATTTTACTTTTTAAAATCTCAGTGATAATTTACATAGATTCATAACTTTTTAGTTTCTTACATTTGCTAATAAATGTTCAGCCGTACTGCTTGGGATTCATAACAAACTGAGTAGTAGATGCCTCCTCTTACACTTAATATTTGCTCTAACCTCTGTTGGAGAACACAGGGAGTAATGATTTTTGGACATAAATATAAACTGTCAAAGATAATATTTGAAGTTTTGAACTATTTTACGATGTGGTAATAATTTAAATTTATTTTTCCAGTTACACGCGAAATTCGACAAGTTGAAAAAGGATCACACGGACGAGAAGAAGCGGTTGGAGGAGCTGCGCAAGAAGATCGAGGACGACACCATCGAGTTCAACCGACGCAAGCAACAGACAGCGCAGTCACACCACACGCTCACACTCGGCAAGAGCAAGAAGAAGTAACTCGAAACGTAACACGCAACATAGCATGCAACTTTCTGCAGACGACGACGACTTATCTTTCTACGCTGAGCGTCCAATCAGTCTCCAGCTCACCGTCGCCTGCCCCATATTACCGTAACACTACAATAAGTTCCAAGATAACAACTATATCAGTAGTTTATTGATTGTGTGACAACTGAGTGAAGTTTTTTTACATTTTATCGCGTGAGTAAATAGTTTACAAATTCTCTATGTAAGTTTTTACAAATTACATTTTCAACTAACTATACGATAGAACAAACTTATTTAATTCATGTTAAAACGTAAAATCGTACGTAAATCATTATCTTGCTTTGATTTAGTTTTTGTTTTGTCACAGTTTTCTTATCTCTTCCTCTGTTTATACTTTTATCTGAAACTTTTAACTGTATAGAATTAATATAGAAAAGCGCAAATTTGACATACTATTCTAAACGTTTGCTTTGCGTAATTAAGTCTAAATCAAATGAAATCCTAATCGATTCGCGGTCTACCGATGACACATCAGTGATTGTATGATATATACACAATTATATCTAAGTATAATTGGCCAAATGATTTAATCAAGTATGCGGAGTGACTTTACCAAATGTATTAAATGAGATAACTAAACATTATTTTATTTACAAGTAGTTGTAGTGAGGGGTACTCTAATGTGTAGCCTGGCGCAGATCATTCCTCGAATTGTAGCTGCCTCTACCAGTTCGACTACCCCAGTATGCGTAGTCTTTAGTTTTATACGATTGTAATAAACATAGTTATGTTTATCATAGTTTATTATGTACTGACATAACATCGCGTGTATTAAAATTGCCTATTTACCGTAGTGACTAAGGAAATAGCTAGACGTAATAAATTATAATATTTACTAATGCCTGTTAACGATTTGCACGCACTTGACTTTACTTAGACTTAAAAATTGCTTTTAAAAGAAATTGGACATCGACAACAACGCTTCACGAACTTAACTTTGTAAGAGCGTTATTGCAATGGCTCTCTAGTTGTTCCGAACTAAGTAAAAAAATGCGAGCTGCAGATAGGCGGATATAATATGAACTATTCTCATAGCATTTATTCAGTCATTCCTACTTTAAATTAATTTTATACTTAATTTGAATTATTTTGTATTACCTGATTAAGGTATTTAATAAATAAATATTAAAATTATAATTATTATTTTATTTCACATAAAATTATTAAACAGAAGTAGTGCTGGTCGCGCCGGCCCGCCAGTAGCTACCTGGGTCAGCTCCGCTTGGAGTTGAAGAAGCCGACTGACGTCCGGCGGCGGACTCATCTAGTCAATTCGAAAACTTTACAATCCAAACAACTCAATTTATTGTGTAAACGTGACCTTTCTCGATGAAGTCGCGCTGGAAATACAACTATGGAACCTAAAATATGACTAGAATCAAGTGAACAAACAAATTTCTCTTCAAAGTCGGTGGCCGCGCTATTCATACCGAAATTAGCACTTACACAATTAGTAAGTAGTATGTATTTGGTATCCTTACACTCACACTTAGTAATTCATTTGTAATCGAAGTAATAATCGATCCAGATCCATTCCTGACGGAATATGCATTGGTGAAAAACATTCGTTTTTAACATTATAAATGTGAGTGAAGTAAAAGTGTCTATAAGTATACGAGTGCAAATTATTTCATATGGCTGCATAGTGCTAGACGAGCGAGATGGTGAAGGGTCGCGGGAGCTCGTAGCACATGGGGCGGAACATCTTGTTGTAGTACGTGTAGCGCCGCGCGTGCGGCGTCACCGAGCCCCGCACGGGCACCACGAGGCCCGCGCCCGCCGCGCCCGCCGCGCCCGCCGCGCCCGCGCACTCGTCGCTCGCTGCCGCCTGCCGCCGACACTGCGCATACAGGTAACTAAAACATTAGGCTTCAATGCCTCAATTACGGAGACGCGATGCGTCGAGCGTCTGCATCGTACAACCAACGCACGACGCGATGATCTATATGTATTGAGATATCCAATGGAATTATGCCTCACATTTAAGTTATAAGTTTGAACTGTTCAACGACAACAGTTTTGACATTTAATTCGAAATAGCTAGAAGTAACAGTAACTATCTTGTTTTCGGGCAAATGTGCTCTGCGAAAAAACATACATAAATATGATATGTATTACCTCAATTTAGGAATCAGGACATAAAACTATGAAGAGTTTGATCTAAGTACCATTATTATAAGATGACACTATAAATGAAATGCTACTTCCGAAGCACTAAATCAAGTGGTGGTGTCGCAGTGCGTCAATCTCAGTGCATAAATAAAACAACTACTTAATTGAATATCAAAAAGTTTATTATCAACCATACATTATTAAACGTTGGCACAGTATTGCAGATAGGTAGGTCGGCAGTTACATGTATATCACTCTGTATAGTATATTGCTAAGCTCCGATTATAATATTATTCTCACCAAGTCTAAAGCTACACTACATACTGTCAATAGGACTAATAAAATGTTTCAATCATTTTATCATGATATAAGGTAAATTATTCGAGAAGGGCCACATTGTAATAAGGTATACGTTATATTTTTCTCGTACGTTTCGTACCTTGTATGGACCAATAATTTATTGTAGTTATGCTGCATAGCATAGTTGATAACTTGTTACACTGACACAGCATAACTTGGAAGACCGTCAAGGAGACTAACCTTATACTGATATATGGATTCACGAGCTTCAAACATTCTCTCTTATTATATTTAAGGGAAGATTTGGTTAATTTCAAAAAGCTATTAATAATAATAAACGACTATTAAGTCTGTCTTGACATCTAAGACTATCACTATCGGCGTACTCGTACAGTAATGATAATGAACACAGTGACTTACGTTTAGTGTCGCAGGACTCAATAGTGTCTATCTAGTGCTTGTATACCTATCGTCAGTGCAAAAATATCCTCTATCGATTTCATATGAAAATATACCTTGTGTGGATTATACAACAATATTTGTACCGTGGAGGTCGCATGCGCGTGAGGCCACAATCGTGTGTCGCTATCCTAACTACAATATATTATCAATTACTGTGCTTCACCGAATCCAAATCAAAATAAAATAAACACAACTTCAAAAACAAATTCTACATAATCACTTACTTTATTGTCAAATGAAAAAAATGCGAAATTATAAAATTATATCACACACACGTAAAGAAAATAAAACTAAAATAATTCTCAGAAATAATAAAGATTCGAAACACAATGAATAATCAGATTAGCAGTAATTATTGCAATTGGAAATTATCATTAAAGTAAACATATCGTAGCGTATCATTATAATTACAATAACAAATTCATTATGACTAGTTCTCCGTCTCGCGTACAGATGGAGTGCTTGAACGTGTGACTACTTACTCTACGAGATGATAAAGACGAGATTGCTCAGTTAAGAGATCTAAATAATGCTTACATTACCAAAACTAATTGAACTTTAATACCGATGCCTTAGCTTAGTGTGTCAAACTTTAAAACTAGTGGAATGAATAATTGACGCGTGTATTAATTATCTGGGCGGGACCTCCCGTGGCGGGGGACTTCTGTATTTGGCTTTTATGTGTAAAAATGGTTTCTTGGAGGAAGTGTCGTCGGCGATGGTGGCCGCTAGCGACAGTCTGATACTCTCCTCGATGGCGGCTTGCGTCATCGCTCCATTTACAGAAATACTTTTGTTCAGTGGTTTGAAGTCGACAGGAGTCGCCAAACTCATACTTCTAGTCTTTTTGGAATAGCCATTGGACCCGTTAAACTGTTTTTTGGGCTCATTTACGGGAGTGGAAGCGAGACTCTGACTGCGGGTCTTCCTGGCGGCCGCGGTGTCGGTGGGAGTGGTAGCTGCACTGGTACTCCTGGTTTTCTTCACCTGGTTCAGTCGGTCAGTACCGCAAAATGTCCTCTTGTCGTCCTTCTGTACGTGTGCCAGACTCATACTACGTGACTTCTTGGGTGTGGTAGGCGTGGAGGCTAAAGCAGCGGAGGTGAGTGATTTCCTGTGCTCTACGGGAGGCGTTCTAACAGATCTACCGGTCGGAGTATTGGGGGTGCTGAAGCTGGAGGGTGCAGATTGCTTCCTGCTGCGCACTGCGGGAGATTTGGGCGATCGCCCATCTACTGAATCGGCTCGCAGAGGGAGAGTCAAAGCAGACCGCAAGCTCCTGGCGGAGGTCGGTTTGACAGGTGTAGAGGTACGGCGCGGGTCTGGCAGCGGGGAGCTCTTGCCACTGCTGGCCTTACTGGAGGCGCGTGTGGATCGGCCACTGCGGAGCTCCACGGGAGACGCCTTGCCGCTGATGGAGGAAGCTTTGCTATCGACGGGTGAGACAGTGCCGGCTACGGAGGACTCCTTAGTGAGCGAGGCTCTACTGCTGGCGGGTGAGAGTGCGGGCGCGGGCTCGTCGGCCAGCGGCACGGGCAGCACGTCGCGCCGGCCCTGCGTCACCAGGCGCACCTGGCAGGGCTCGTGCCGCGACAGGAAGTGCTCCAGCGTGTCCCAGCCTCCGCCCACGCGGACCATCATGTGCCGCCCCTTCAGCAGCTGCAACACGTCACACATATTGTCAATACAGATGCATCATCAAAACTTTTACAATTTCATAATTCTGTGTAAGGTTAGGTTAGCCATAGCTACATAAAGATACAATTGTAAGTGAAAGTCAACTCACCCTGATGAAAACGTTTCTCCCAGCGATGTTGTATCGACCCTCTCCAACCTTCTTCACCTTCAACAGCTTGGAACACTTGCCCGAGCTGCAGCTGCAGCCGCGTTCCATCAGCCGGGTCACCAACTGGACCTGATGGATAATGTTAACTCGTGACAATGTATTCCAAACACTCGTCAGATTTAAAAAACCTGTAACAGGTGTAATGTTTGTAGGTCTGCCTGTACTCATGTTTTTCTACTGTAAGTATTAATACACACCCTCTTGTCAAGTTCATTGGTGGGTTTGAGAGGCACGTCGGAGTCAGTGCTGGCGACAGTTCCCTCCGACTTGGTGCTCTCTGCGTCTGCGTTGTCCACCGCCGACAATTGCGCTGTTAAAGTAACACCAGCTCGTTAGTATCAAAAATTCTCTGATTAAATTATTTCGTGTCAATAGATAGAATTAGTTACTTACAGTCTGGGTCCGGTGTCTTTGGCGGTACTTCCGTAGAGGACCTGCGGAATACACAACAGCTTAGCTTATTTTCCCATCCAGAGAGGTACACGCACAAAATTCCAAATGAGTAAGTTAACTTACTTTTCATCCCGTGGTGGTGGCGTAGCATCCCTGAACTGCCAAGCGGTGGCCGACATGGCGGAGTCCAGCCCCGAGTCCCGTTCCTCCAGCGCGATTTCCTTCTCTAGCTGCACCAGGCCCGGCGGCTCCACGTTGAATTTGGTGGCGAGCCGAGCCACCTCCAGCAAGCATAGAATCACCTGCCGCGGCTGGTTGTGCAGCACTGCAGACACATCGGGATATATTGTATTAACATACCATTCAGAAAACATGTTATTACACGTTTATGATAAACTGAAAAAAGTTTGTGATAATTTAAAACAAAAACGTCCATTTGGACCGGAGGTTAAAGAGCCCGCTTCTCAAGCATGAGGGTGTGTGTTAAGTGACAAGTACCAATGTCTTTTTCCTAGTTATATGTACTTTCTATTATTAGTTAGACAATAGACACCACTGACGTACGGTGAAGGTAAACATCGTGAGGAAACCTGGACTTATAATTTCTAATTATAAGTTTGAAATCGCCAACCCGCATTGAGCAAGCGTGGTGATTAATGCTTCTCCCTTCTCCGTATGAGAAGAGGCTTTTGCTCAGCAGTGGGCAATTATAGGCTGATGATGATGATGATGATGATAATTTTAAGAAAGAAATGAAAACAATACCCAATATATGGGGGTGTTTGTGTGAATAATAAAATGGGAAGGTTTATCAACTAAGTTTGAGCTTTATACAAAGGAAAAAAAATATTGCGCTGACCCGAGATAAATCGATAAAAATACAGGAGTGATGGAATTACCATTAAATAATGGTTATAATATAATAATATAGTGAGCTTACCAAGATCATCGCTTTCAAAGAGCAGGTTTTCATGCACCCCGAGTTCTCGGCAGAATGTGATGAAATTCTCAGTGTTGTCGCGAGAGAAGAAGCTGCGCCGCGCCGCGCGCTGCCAGCATCGCCCGCGGATCTGGGGCACCGGCTGCACAAACAATATACCGATTACCGTCACTGCTCTACACAAAATCAGTTACCTACTAATATAACAAGATTAAAGAAGACAGAAGAAGGATGTGTAGACGACTATGCAATAGAGGTATTTACATTTTCACAGAATATAATGAGTACCGTACTGACCCCAACAATGAGTCCCTGGTCGAGCGCCTCCCTGGCGCGGTCGTGTATGACGGCAGCCAGCTGGCACAGCTCCACGCCGTTGTCCAGCACGTCCAGGAAGTTTTCTCCCGTTAGGTATGTTATACCTGGAAACCACAGCACAACATAAATATGTATGTAATAACTGTTTGTTAACAACAAGGAAACTATAAAGACTGCGCGGCCGATCAGTGCTGCACTCAAACCTCAAAAATACTTAAAATTTAATGAAGGTTCCTCAGTACAATGCTGTGACACTACAATGTTTACCACTACCCCCTTTTTTGTGAGGGTGAAATCATCAAATGACTTCTCCCGCCCAGGGTTGGGCGGGAGGGAGTGTCAGACTCTTACTGCCTAAAAATCCCTTCTGCTCTGGACCGAGGTCGTGGTGCTTCATTGCGCTTACCCCGCAACCCCGGCCGACCACTACCCCTGAAACGTTTACCAGACGTTGCGGTATTAAAACTGTTTCACGCGTAAACGCTGAAGGGACGTAGACTGGATAGTTTTTGTAGCAGTTGCGTAATGAGCCAATGAATGCTCAAATAATTATTACAGAACTTCTAAGAGGAAACTTAAATGACTAACTCACTTTGAGATGCAACTATTGATTGCGAGTTGTGCTTTACCAGCGGCTGACATAATGTTTAATATCCGTTTCTCGTTTTACTGCTCATTAAATCATTGCCATAATACGCGCAGTACAGACACAATATAATACGTTGTATGGCAGGTCACCACTAAGTATTCCGTAGTGAGACGTCTACGGCTCATGTTATATTCATTCTGCATTATTGCGAAATTCGCCAGCCTCGTCATCTAAGCACTTGATGTAATCTAACATGTTTTGTTTACAACAACGTTATGACAAAGTTGCATCGCATTCGTTAACTTAAAACTAGTAAAGGTAAAACTTAATGACAAGTTTCATAAAATGTGAGAATATTATATTCAGTAAGTGAAAACAAATTATTAAAACAAATTTCCCAGTAACGGTAGCCAGCTCTCCGTTAGTGATTACTGAGTGACGGACTGACGACTTTTTACAGATCTGGCATTTTCTTGGTGTTAGCATTGCTGCGGTCCGCGGAGCGTGCCGCGTGCGTGCTCGCCGGCCATTGCCGACGTAAACAATGTGATTTAAATCTTCGTACCAGTAAGCGCAGTAAATAATTCAGAACTATGGAGCGATGAGTAATAAACATCGAATGATATGATGTGTGCACTCCAACAATTATCAACGTGAGAGCTAAAAAATGTCTGAATCATTTCTGTTCGTTCGTTGTCTGTGAGGCACAATTACTTCCTGCAATACTCAATTACTACAGGTGGCATCAGACGCGTCGTTATATAAATAAACTTGCCATATTAGTATAAGTATATGGAGTGTGCAATTCCAGCAATAATTACGGAGCGCCAAACCGGGACGGTGAACTTTCACGACGGACGCTAAGGCAAGCAACGAAATCGATCGCATTCTCATGACCCTAAGTCGCAGGAGATCTTACAGGCTCCGCGGTCTCTTGCTACCCTGGTACCTCGGAGGCTTATTAATCGACGACCTTTGGCCCTAAGGCACTCCTTGTAAATTTATTTTACAATAGCCGATATTAGGTACCGGCCTGTTAGATAGAGGAATTAAATTAAGTCGGTATAATAAGTAATATATCGAATTTCTATACGTTATTGTATTGCGGATTTTTGCTCAATTGTCTGAGAATTTAAGAAAACAATAATATAATAAGGACTTGCTGCGAAAGTATTTCCTAGTTATTTACAGAAAGCAGCATCGAAGTATGTAGATACAATATAGGTACGCAAGTCACCAAATTACTTCACTCGCCAGGTGGTGTCGGGGCCGCGGTACCTCATTGCGCTTGGTCCGTCCCCTAGTGAAGCTATTTGCTCGTTCCAAAGCTTAGATTCCAATGGAGAAGAACGAGCAAGAAACTACATAGTTACTCTTTTCAACCACTTCATATCCTAAAATAAACGAATGTAATTGGTCGCGCGAATCACATGTTTTAGTGCTAGTAGTATATTAATAAAAATCCAAAGAATATAATTTATTTTTAGTGGCCGATGAAATTATTTATTATGTGAGCAGTGCATACCTGCAATCTCATGGCAGCAATGCAGTACATATGTACCATGCGCCGGCGCATAGAACCGGCTTTAGGATGCGCGCGAGATACATGTGTTATGTATAACGTGAGCAAAAGATAAATAATATCGGCGCGACTGTGTGGGACCACCCACTGACTACAAAATACAAGTAGATTTGCATCGCATTACTAGGACTTCATAGCCCTCAGAGAGTTCGCGACCATGTTCTTACTCATACGATGGGCGCTTACCTACATGTATATTCTGTAGTATTCTCTTTTATAATTTGATTTTATCGTTCTCGTTGTATGTACAGTTCAATAATCGTGAACGACATTACTTGTATCGTTGTTATTAATATGAATGTACGATACGTAAGTGATTATTAATATCTACAAAAAACTAAAAATAATATTGTCAAATAGGTATACTTATTTAATATCGTTCTTTTCTTGTTATACATTTTCTTTAAGTGAGTTTCTTATACTTTGGTATGTTGTATTGTAATAATATCAGTGGACAGTGGAGCGTAGGTATAGTCCACATCCACACTGCAACAATGGCGTTGTTTCGAGTAGCAACGATCAAGATTACAGTGCACCACGTACGCGAGGCTCATTGAAATGTTTTAATTGAAAGTCAACCGATCGAACGAGCGGCTCGCAGCGTCGCATCATAAAACTATTTGAACAAGTATAGCTGACTGAGATCGCCTGATAATTGAAATTCAATTTCGCCAATAAAATACAGCTGTCTAAAGCGTGTTTTAGAAATTCTATCTTTGCCATCAAACTGACCAATGTCAACAATGTTGAAGATAGTAGATATATCACACTGGTGTGAAAATAAAGTCATTAATAGGGTGAAGACTAAACATTGTAATCCAACAAGTGAACATTTCTGGCTGTTTCAGCTCTGCTCACTACTTCGGAAGTAACATTATTTAATGTTATGAAATAAATACAAAATAATTCACATTGAACTTAATTATTCAGTAACCACAGTGTGTCGGTGGGACCATACATAAAAAAACCGGTCTTCCTCGTGGTTTTCCTTCGCAATTACCGCGACAATAATCGAAGCATTCGAAGCTGACCGTAGCTCACCAAATAAATATGTTTCTGATAAAAAATTCGCCGGTACAAGTGCATCGAGGCCTTACTTGTGACTTACTGAACTAACCGGATTTTTCGAGATTAAGAATGACAGAACGCATTCATACTAAGATCAATTTATTAAGTTGCGTAACTATGATAACTTGCATACATACTATTCTAATTTGAACCAATTCTCAGCAAACGGCAGCAACTTACTTATAATTTCATGTATAAGAAATGATTGTTTTTCTAGGTTGAAAGTAGATATTGAAAATGTTTAAGTACTAAAATTAAGTTGCGGAATGAAGATGGAGATCGGGATTCTTTACGTACTGCGCCTAAGTTTTTCTTTTATAAAATCCTAAGTGTTTACTCTTGTTTTTTGGATCAGATCATAAGTTGCAGAATCACCCCCTGTCCTTTCCTCATTCATGTGTCGTCCTCCGATGATTGATTATCTATCCTTATCTAAAGCCATCTTTATACGTAGATAACTTACTGAATACGTACTTAATTATAATTCAGGACTACAATAAAAATATTATAATGTAGTCGTTTCATTAGTTGGATGACAATGATAACATTCACATCTCCTACACATATATTGTAACGGCCAATGGGCATCCACCCGCGTCCGTGAGAAAACATCTTAAATTCGTACACACACAATAAAAGACAGCTTATTATTAAAATAAGAATATGTAATTGCATTTAACCTTAATTATAAATTTTCGCATTCAATAACGGTATCGTAAGGATGTCAATGCTGGTGACCAGCCGAGCCGCCTGCGCCCGCGCAGCCCGGCGATGTACGGTGCGCCTGCGTCGATTAACGGCCCGCCAACGGAACTTCTATATTGCAATAATAATAACTCTATAATTTATATGGTGTTACTTTACGTGCTGTAATCATTTAAGACACGAGATCATGCGATTTGTTACATTTACATAGTCCTGCACTACTACAATGTGTTGGTATTTGAATGCAGCGTATTGCTTTAATTTATAATGTAAAATACTTTTCGCATCCATTATATTAATTATCTGAAGTATTCAGTTGCTGCAGTATCAACGCTTGATCCATTGACTTCTACCAAACGCTAAATGATATTTAAATATTCATAACGACGCGTCTAGGCAGCGGCAGTTCATACTGGGCCCTGACGGTACACCATACAGCCTAATATTAACATTAGCATTTCATGCACGCCTAGTAGCAACCCGGCGCACTTTAACCTGGTAATTAAGTAAATTGCTGTCTGCCTAATTAAAAGATTTAACTTCCAGGTAATTAGCACTTACTTACTAGAGAACGCCGGCTCTACAAAAGTTGTATACATATTAACAATTTTCTAAGCTTTATATGCAGTTTTATTCGTGATTTCAGGTTTCAATATTGAGGGCATCGCAATTACACAAAAGCATTAAAACTGTAACTCGCGACAGCTAATGATCTAATTATAGATACGGAGCGGCCCATGTATGTGAGTGCACATGCATGGGTTACATCACGATTGCGTGGTCCTGTGTCGTCAGGCAGGCAGCGCGACCCGCCGCGGCCGGCACTGGCGTGTGACGTCTCCGATCAAGCGTTGCGCTAATTACTATTTACTAATCACTCGCCTAACCTACGTATGTTACGGTATCGCGCTCTGCCCTACATTCGTGACGCCATTCCTATCAAATCACCCGTCATCGCTTGCACGACGCATTCATGAGATCAATGAAGCATACAACATTGAACAACGTGCGAACATACTGCATCTCTCGTGGTAAACTGATAACTGTTTCTTTTGTACCAAGTCACATTGTCTTGTTGCAGTGCATTATGGCGATGATCAGGTGACAGACAAATAAGTGACGAGATGTGTGTGAGAACATGATAATGTCTGGCTCGTGCGTGCCATGTTGGTTTATACGACACAATAATCTGCTATAATGCCACCATTACGGAGATTATCGTGAATTATATCGTTAGTACGGAGAGGGTAGGAATTTCCCAAAGAAACGATAATGTCGTGACATAATAACAGATGTCGGGAAGTTCGAGGAGTAATGACATTAGTTTGACATTGTTGCAAGAGTCATAGCAATATTTTTCAGACACGCATTGTACTATATGTAGGGGCTGAAGGCCGGGACGGATATTACGTTCTATAGCCGTATGTATCATAATATGTTGTATAGCCCTTTTATCACGTTGATAATAATCAAGGAAAATCTGAAGGAAGCCGCTCATTACTAGTGTTGCCCAAATGCAAGAACAAGACGAGACTTAGCCAGTCTTGGTCTTGGTCTTGCGCCAATACACCTGGTCTTGGTCTTGGTCTTGGTCTTGCGCTCTCAGTCTTGTTCTTGGTCTTGGTCTTGCAGCAAGAGTCTTGCTAGTCTTGCAATTAACTATGAATCTATTACTTTTTATTAAAGTTCTTATATATCATAAAGTATCTTAGAAAACGTATTAGAATTGGAACATTGTGAGCTTGAATTAACATAGCCATAGTAAAGATCAAGCAGATAAATAAATAACTGAATATTTGATAAGAAATTCAAAAAATCAACTAATGTCGTTTTCCATGGAAGTAACTGTTTCTAATTAATCAATTATGTTTTATAAGCTTACATTTGCTAAAACATGTAAAAAAACAAATTAATTACAATAACTTGACTATATTTTAAAGAACAATACTTATCTGTCTAGAAAGAGATTGAACCCTCAAGTTATAAGAAATTTAATAAAAGAGTTTTACGATTTATCATTTATTTGAATAAAAAATAAAATACAACACAAATCAACAGCTTTATCATTACAGATACTGATACTTTATACCAATTTTTTTTATCAAGAATTAATACAAAGTAACCATCTGGCTGACTCATCACTTAACCTATTTCTATGTTTTCTAATTACTAATGATGCTTTAGAAAATAACCTCTCAACAGTTTCAAGTATATTTGAAAGTGGCTACAATATTTATTAAACGGGTGATATTTGAACACTTTTTTGCTATTTTTTCTTGTAAAAACTTAAGAAATATTATGACCAAATGTACAATAATACATAGTACCTAAGTAATTAGTTTAAAACCATATAAGTAATCAATATTATAATAGAATGAATTAATATGACATCTACTACCTATCCTTACCATTTTATCCTAATCATAATACTACTTGCGTGATCAGTATAATGTATTCATTTTCATTCTAAGCACTGTAAAACTTCATTAGTCTTTGGAGCACCTGTAGGTACTCTTAAAATTCGAAATTATTTTGCATGAGTTTACCTACGCCCTATGGCGGCAATCAAATAGTGTCAAATGTTATGATTTCGGGGTGGCGACAACGATTGTTTTAGATTTCAAAAGAAGCCGCCGGCGCGTGTGTCATAACCATGTACTTCCGAAAAGCGGCAAATTGCGTCTCATAGAATTCCTAAGCGTACCTACCTATTCACCGAACTGTTAGGTACACCTAACTACTCAGTGAAATAGCGCTAAGTCCTAGCTGCAAGACGCAAGAGTCTTGCAGGCTAAGTCTTGTTCTTGCTCAAGTCTTGCACGGTCAGTCTTGGTCTTGGTCTTGCTAAAAATACGCGTTCTTGTTCTTGGTCTTGGTCTTGCAAAAACGCAAGAACAAGACCAAGACTGAATTTGGGCAACACTACTCATTACAAACGAACACATAAATCAGTTGCCCGGCGTGTTTACATACTACAATATCAATATCATTTGCAATAGATATCTCTCTTGCTTCTAAACTTCTAAATGCTTCTTAGGCAGGCTGATACTGATTATAGTGATCTTTCTATTCTAGTATAATACGAATACGATGTACCCAATTCTATAGTTTGATGGGTAGGAGAACGTTTGCGACACCTCCTAGCGAGTGTCGCCGTAAATCTGCGCATTTGTCTTCGCAGTGCGACGGGCACGTGGGCGGCGCGCGGCGTGAAGGTGTCCATCATTGCGCAATGTCGCTCCTCGACACACAGACCTCCTGATGGTACGTGCCGCCCTAGTACCTTCATGAAACTATTGAGTATAGGAAACCTATCACAGGTATAATAAAAATTTCAAATGCTAGACGTACATTATTTTTAAAATCTTAAATAACAGCAGATATTAAGCAGGGATATTAATTACTAGAGGCACAGAACTAAGAAATATTTATTGTCATATCTAAATATAATCATTATCAATAAAATCGAATAATTTGTTAGTAAATAAAATAAATAATAATGTTTATTTGGTTTAATTCCGCGACGGTAGTTAGCTGAATAAGTTATAATGTTTGTTATGTGATGCTCCGTCCGCCCACATTGAGATGTGAGTGTTGTCATGGGATGCCAGTATTATAGTTTAACTGCTAATTATCGACACAACGTGGTCATGTGGGCCCACGCTCAGCTCGCCGGCTCGCCACAAAAACACCGCGAGCTCACCTATAAGGCAGCGATGATACAATCACACGTCGTACAAATTGTTCTTTATTATTACCATTTCTTGGCCCTGTGAACCACTACGCGATATATTTCAATAATTAGAGACCGAGTTAATCGCATCTTGATTACAATTTATTGATATTACTTTTTATTAATTTGCTTATTACTGAGTGAATTACATCTATAAATGTTGTTTTGTGTATATAAGTTGGTATAAGAAAACTTCATCACACATCGATTGTCACAAACATGACATTCATGACTAATGCTGACGGAAATCACTTTTACATTGTGAAGCAGTCTCCGGCTCGAAAGTGTGGAACATTTCGTTTGCACTCACATGGCATTTGCAGGTCGGAGAAACTCGCAAAATTGCAATTTTTCACGCTCGCTCCATATTACATAACTCGTGCAACGTTTTCTTCAGTGCCCAATTTACAGGCTTATTTCAATGTTCATTTCCAATAAGTTCCAAAAGTTTACTTTCGTAGAGTGTGCGTCACTTACCGATGGTCTTGTTGATCCAGTCGGCCAGGTCCTCTTGCAAGGGGAACAGCTGCCTCGCCTGCGAGTACAGTATCTTCTCCCGGTAGAAGTCCTCGTCCTCCGAGCAGGGAGTCTGCGCCGCCAGCGCGCAGTCTGCCCGCTCGAAGCTGCTGCTCATCTTTCTATTCACTATGATGTCTCCATGACCGATATGGCGTTCCTCTTCTTCTTTTCCTCCCTCAAAAGAGTTACGGATATACTCAAAGGCATTGGTTCTTTCAAAAGCATTAAATATTCTATCAAAGTTGCCGCTCAGTGGCCTATCATAGCTCTTGGGCTCCACGGAGGTGGGCGACGTGACCGGGCCCCACGAGGTGCGGCTCCCGATGGCTGTCGGCCCGCACCGGTAATACGCCATTGTCAAGGCTTCCCTGCAACAACAACATTAAGCAATAAGTCTCCATTGTGAATGCTCGGAGTAAACAACAACAAACGTATAGTTACAGCATTACAGGCAACATGCCGCAGTATAAACGAGTCGTTCAACAAAACATGAACTAGATAATAAAAGAAGTTTAAAGAGTTCGCGGAGCAATTTTCTGCACGATTCTCATTTACATGTCTGACAAGGGCCGCGCTCTGTGGCTCGGTAAAACTTAACTAATGATGAGGCGAAGGTCGCTCCGGCCGCTGACAGACACTAATTAAGACACAAAGTGTTCACTGACATAAAAATATGAACACCCGACTGACGGGAGGTTACCCACAGACAGACGAGCGCCGACAGGTTAACCAGAACTTAAATAATAATTATTATAATTGGCTGTTTCGTTTTGATGCCCAACGTCCGTATAGTGCTGGTGCTATACATATATACACAGTTTCGTTAAGTTACCATTATAATGTTTATATGATTCAGGGCAAGACGTTTTTATAATCTGTAGACAAGTACGTAATCAATCAGTTTGATTCATTATTGAAATTATGTAGAACCAGTTTATCAAACAAGCAGACTAACAATGACATTGTTGAATGTAGCTCGGTTGCTGCAGCGTGCAACGTATGGCTGGCAGTTTATTGTATTTTGCCAGCGGATTTTCATACCTTTCGGGCTGCGTGATGGCGTCCCCACGACATCGGCGCCGAACTTTGGTACCACGTCGGTAAAAAAACAAAAGAAAAGTCGCCGGCAGATCACACGGTGCCCATATATGTCCCGGTCGTGATGCGACGTACCTGAGTACTCGAGTACGTGACGCGAATGGGCTCCCTACACAAGTATACGCGCTCGAAGGTATTGTTCTCAGTGGGCTTCAGTATCGATGCATATAATGTTTGGGACAACTTTACTGATAATACTATATCAACTATTTTAAGGCCACAAATGTCTGTCAAACGTTGAGTCATGCGTTTGGAACATGTCTCCGGAATTCATAAAGTGTGAAGGGAAAGGCTTAAGGTACAGCCTGTGACACAGATTCCAATAATCATAGCTCGTTGTACATTTTACGTACATTCCGACAACTATGTATTATTAGTGTTATCGTGGCGGACACTAAACTGCACGCCGTGCAATAATTGTCACATGCAGGAGCATGCGGTAGTTACGAAAGGAAGCCTGTGAGCACTGCACACTGCACACCCGAGCAAATGCAGTTATGCAGAATACACGTATATTTATATAACCGCAGCGACTGACACGAGTCTAGCAATGGCACTCAACATTTGTCTGATTGTGACCACCACGCCCAGTACACACGTGTGGACAGCTTATGTCGTGTGTGGCGTGGTGCGCGTGACCACGTTTTCTGACTTCATGTAATACAAACGAAACTCAATATATAATCCACGTAACTATACCTCCACACGGGTACATCAAAGCTTTAACATTGGAAGTTGCAGCAATGGCAGCTCAAAGTCATTTCATCCGCTTACAGTGCACTACCATGCAGAAATAAAATAAAACTTCAAGAATAACAGTTTAAACTTAATATAATAAGTACACGCTTAATGTTTATTAAAATGAGTTTTTCCCATGAAATTACAATATTTCCCCCCATGGTGGGTAATTTATGTGACTGGAAGCAACTGGGACGAGTCAGCACCGCGCCGCGCCCGTCCCAACGGCAATACGACACGGAAACCGCGGAAATCGATTCCTACCAATTGGGACATTATTTTGCATGTCATTACTATTGTTCTATTTCAAAATTGTACCCTTTTCCCACAACGTAGAGTACACTTTTCTTCGATTCCCCTGTTGATGGAAGATAGCACGCGAGAATTGCGGTGCAGGCGAGTCGCGGTTTTCTTCACAACAGTTTGGGAAAACGTAATATTATTTTACTGAAAAGTTGAGTCGTAACCCGGGTACATTCGGAACACTTACATTAAATGCAGACAAATGTCGAATCAAAACATTTTATAGCATACATTGGTTCACGTGAAAATCACTCGATAATACAAACGATATTTTGAAAAGAAACTGAAGGTTAGTGTGCGTGTTTTGTCAGAAACATCAATTATACATTTTTACGAGTTTCTTAATTGACTTATTTTGCATTAGGAAGTATTAGCGTAGTTTCACTTCAGTATGTACATGCATAGTAATAATAATTTGTCATAATTACTGTTATTGTGCCTTCGCATGACGAACTATATAGAAAAAATAGTCGAAATCAATAACCAATGAAGTACGCCAAATCGGGGCGGATCTTTTGTTTTGAGTAAAATTCTACATCCATCCATTTAGTTCGATTTTAAAATCCTAATTTGATTAATGATTTCGGTCGTAAAACGCAGTCGCGACGCAGTGATCCTAACATCAACCTCCATGAAGTGGTCGAACCTATGCAACGTTGCCTACGCACAGCTCTGCTATGGTTGCCACCACAATTGAACCGTTATTAAATATCATTGTATCGCAATAAAGCAGTTTGTGTGACAAAATAAAAAGGGCAGAGTCTAGGAAAACTTATATGGATATAGTACAAATTGAATGTTTCTAGTAATTCTACAAGAGATCCTCGGAGCTGTTAATTCCATCAGTGCCCAATTTGGCGAGTGCACAAGACATAAGCAGGCCAGCCCTGCATCGTGTAGGTCAAGTTGAGCGGGCTGGTCGGTGGGCCGGTCGGCGGGCGGCGGGCGCGTCGATCAAGAAAATCGTCCATTTACGCAAATTACACGCAGCGACGAAGGTCTCCACTCCCGGCTCCTTTTTCATTACTGACTATATGATGTTCTTGAGCCCGTTTAAATGCGTCTGCATGGTTGGCGGTGGCAAGAGACGACGTGTATATTACTGCTTGAACTACTTGGCTGACACTCAGTGAAACAAGTGATTCAGACTGATCAGCAATCAAACCTTTGTTTTATTGGAAGGAACTGGAGGATCAGATAAATGTCGCGTACGATAAGTCAAGCGACTGGATCTTAATGTTAAGTGGGATCAGAGTGGTTGAATAATGCGAAGATGTTATTGTACGCACTAGGGTAGCATGAACATCGCAGACACTTCCCAAGTGAGTGGCTGGTCGTCGAGCGGTGGTACGTTGACTCCTGCGCGCTCCTTAATTGGATAATCACATTCAGTCCGCACAGACCCGGCTGAACAGAGCTAAGTACCAATGCAACTCGAACGCACATTCTTATTTAGCTTTATACACATTAAGTCTCCTATTTATCATGAGTCAAAACAACGATAACAACTTTCAGGCCATCATAGGGTAATAAGTGATTAGAAGGTAGTAAATGAAATACGGTTTGATGATGGTTTTTGAGCTTTTCCGTATCGTGTCGCTGTGTCTGACGATGCCAACTGCAAGGGATGCCTACTGTAGTTGACTTTACACATTTAAATCAGGAACTTGAAAATATTGTCTGTAGCAGTTGTAGTGCCAGTTCAAATACAATGTAATGAAGGAGGTTTAGCAAGAATTTGTAAATGTATGTATGTAGCGAGTGGGTACCGACTACCGAGTAGTCCAACATGGCGGAGGACTGGTCGCTTGCGATAGCCGTGCAGGAGGTATCTGTATCTGGCACGAGTGGCACGTGTCATCGACCCGGGAAGGGACGCGCGCCGCCCATCCACGCGGATCATATCGTCAGATCGCAGATACTACAATTGATCCTGTCGCATTCAGAAGACACTGCGCAGGAAGCGCCACTTTATGCCTAATGGTGTGACTGCTGGGTTAGCGGGGCGGGTGACCCACAATGTACCACCCACCTAAGACAAAGAGTTTGTTGGAGGAAAGAGATTATCAGATGCCACAATAATAACAACCAATATAAGTTGAAACCAATTTGACCCGCTAGTAGGTAACAAATGCAGCATGAAATCATAAAAGAAAATATTTTCCGCACGATGTGAACAAGTATTGCAGTAATTCGTAAAAGGTCGGCTTTTACGAAACGATTATGGTAATCTTACGATTACTTAGTTAAGAAATGTAATTGGTCGCCCCTTCAGCAGTCTTCAAATACATGTTATCTGCATTAAGCGAGACAGACAAGCAGATAAATGTTGTAAGTTGTAATCTTACAATTTCACAATTAGATAAGTAAGTAAACAGTAATGTCTTTAAGGCCTATAATCTTGTTCTTTGGTTTACAGTACGCCATCGTTTGCCAGATATTTTAATGAAAAACGTGCGGAAACCATTTCAATTTCCCAATGTTCAGGTATCGGTGTCAGAGTTACCGCACCCTAGCGGTGTCAGCAGTACCGCACTCAGTTTCTAGGCGCCTTTACCGCAAGACACATATACTCGCTTTCAGCAGAGGCGGTTAACTCTGCGGTTTCCTCACTGTTCTCAAGTCGAGTCCGTGTGTTGACCTGGTGAATTTATAGCACAATTACCACAAGTTTTAAAGCCAAATGTAATAATCTTCTAGTCTAAGATTGAGTTTCACCAGATATTTCAGACTGAGGATGTTCAACGAACCACCAGTCACGCGTGACAGCGTGACTAGCTCACACTGCGGCCATCATTTTCACCCAATTCAAATTCCTCTGAGCGGTGTTATATGGACGATCTACTACGGCGACGGCCGCTGAGATTCCGCACGTACCGGAGTGAGGCGAGAGATGAGATCCATCAGATCCATCACACACTCATCCACTCCAGATCGACATCGTCAGCGCACGTCAACACTCACCTTCAGTCACATATATTGTTACACAGAGTACAGCGAGGACTCCAAACTATCAAAACGGTTTAAATAGATCTTGAACTTCATTGCAAAATGATAAGGTTCAAAATCAATCCAAAATATACAGCGTGATAATAGCCTTACGCTAAGATCGCGCTGTACAGGACTAAATACCTAATCCTAAGTACTACTAGCTAACGTTATCCTACACTATCCTAGATAATCTAACACTTACAATATCCTATCCTAGATCCCCTAAGCCCAATAACCT